ATGAGTCCAAAATCAACTAATCTCTAGGGTTCCATTATTGTAAAAAGGGAAGTTCATTTCACTCACTTTCACTAGCATTTTAATTACTTGCACATTAGGTAATTAGTTTAGATAATTAGCTAGGTAACTAAATTCCTACAAACTTTGGTTGATTTATTTCACTAGATAACTTTCAATTAGACTTAAAACCATTCCTTGGGAGATGACCTAGGGTTGGCCCTATATTGCATTAGGGTTAGCTTTAGTGTAATTTTGAGGATAAGCGACTAATTTCCTATCAAAATTTTGGCGCCGTTGCCGGGGAATGGTTTAAGTTTAATTCTAAGGTTGTTTAGTACTTAATTTATATTTTTAGTGTTCCTGGAAAATTTTTTGAAAAATTATAAAAATTTGTGTTTTGTGTTTTGTTTAGTGTTTTTTGTGTGTTTTGAGTGTTTTTATTCTGTTTTGAAAAAGAAAAAAAATTAGTGCAATTTTTGTTGGTTTGGTGTAGAGCTGAAAATACTCTGTTTCTAGTGTCTCTGTCTGAAATTGAAAAATTAACTGGGAATGAGTCTGAGGGAATTTGAACTTGAAATTTATTTCATTGAAAGCTCTATATCTTAGCTTCACTTTAAAATTGGTTTGGTCAATTTTGGACGTGGGAAGTGTCCTGTGGAAATTTTACAATCTAACAAGGTCCAGGGAGCCATTACAGAGGATTCCCAAAACCCTGTTTCAACTTTGAGTTAGCATATCTTCCTCTTTGTGCATTCAAATTGATTGATTCCAGTTTCATTTTTCTTATCACTGTCTTATATTTGTTTCTTGTGTTTAGGATTTTCTTCAATTTTTTCATTTTCCTATTTGAAAGTTTGTTAGAAGCTCTGAAGGCCTTCTGGACGAAATCCTGTTTCTCCAGACCTGAGGACCAATTTGTGAAAAATTCTGGGAACGATTGGGAAGGATTTTTAATCTAAAAGTTTTATATAATTTTCCTGTATATCTCTTGTGTTTCTCATAAAAGTTTCAGGGGAATTTATCATGTGGATTTGCTGATAGAAAATTCACAAGTTCACTATCTCCAGAGAGCCTACTGTGCGAATTCCAGAATTGCCAAAGCTTCTTGATTGAGCATTTCTAACTCTCTTTCTACTTGTTTGGTGTTTTTTTTTTTCATTTTGTTGCTATTGAGTATATTAAAAAAAAGAAAAAAAAATTATTTCTCTTGCTTTTGTGTGTTTTGAATTGTTTCGTGTTGATTTGCATTTTAGTTTAGCTTGTTCTTTGTTCTTAATTTTCTTGAGCTTGATTAGTGCATGACCCGAAAAAAACATACCTCTTTTGTTAAATTAGATCCAGAAATTGAAAGGACTATTTCTAGATTGAGAAGATCACAACCTATTCTTGATTCTCATTTGGTTTGTAATTCAACAATGGAAGGTATCTTAGGACATGAGCATGTGCATAATGAGGGCCATGGAAATGGGAATGAGAATTTGCATGATGATGGCCATGTTAATAATGAATTTGAAGGCTTGCATAACCCTAGAGAGGAGAGGAGCATTAGGCAATTAACTCAACCTAATTGGCATGATAATCCTTATGGCTTATATGTTCCTCTTACTAATGTTCAATTTGAAATTAAATCCTCCTTGATTAATGCATTGCCTAAATTTCATGGGTTACCAGGAGAGGATTGCCATAGGTTTTTGCATACTTTCCTATTGGTTTGTGATACTATGAAGCCTATGCATGTAAATGTTGATGATGTTCAAGCTAAGGCTTTTGTATTTTCTCTTGAAGGTTTAGCAAAGGAGTGGTATTTCAACTACCCTTCTTATGTGAAAGTAAGCACATGGGCCGAGCTAAAAGACTCTTCTTAGATAAATTCTTTCCAAATTCCAAGGTCACCAATTTGAGGAAGCAAATCTATGGGGTCCAACAAGGAGAGGATGAGAGTCTCTATGAGTATTGGACTAGATTCCAAGGCCTTTTGGCTAAATGCCCACACCATCAAATTTCTAGTGAGAATTTAGTCCAATATTTCTATGAGGGCTTGATTCCAAGAGACAAAGTTAACATTGATGCTACTAGTGGTGGATGCTTGATTGACCTCACTTCCTTAAAGGCTTGGGAACTAATTGACAAGATGGCTTCAAGTGGTGCTCAATACTCTACAAGGGAAAAAAGAAATGTGAATATGGTAGGTTCTTCAATTCTTAATGATTCATATGTGGACTTGCTAGCTGCCAAGATTGGGAGAATGTTGGCTCCACAAATATCTCAAGTGAGCAATGTAAGTACTTCTCAAGCACTTGTCCCTTATTCTTGTACTTTCTGTGACTCACCTATGCATGTAGAAAGCAATTGTCCTATTAAGTTTGAACAAGTAAATGCTATCTACAATGGAAAACAATCCTATGGTGGGAGGCAAGGGCAAGGAGCTTATTCTAATACTTACAACCCTTTATGGAGAGACCATCCTAATTTCTCCTATTCAAATCCAAATGTGGCTTTACAAGACAATCAACAAAGAGGATCCTATCAAAACACCTTTGGCCGTGACCCTCCACCTCATTTGTCTCAAGGTAGCTCTTCTCAAAGCTACAATCCAAGTGGTAATTCTCTTGCACCTTCTTCTAATTCTTATAGTGATAGGAGGCTTGTTCCAATTGAGAGTTCTTCTAATTCGAACTCTTCTAATGATGTGAATGTGTTACGTAAGCAGTTGATTGAAATGAACTCTTTGTATAAAAACATGTATGATGGCTTAGGGAACAAGGTAGAGAGTATGGGTAACAAGTGTGAGAACATGAACTCTAAAATTGATGCCCTTACTTCTCAAATGAATATGCTTGCTAACCAATTAAGTGCAGCCAATGCTCAAGCCTCTACATTACCATCCAACACGTTGCTAATCCTAAAGCTAATCTTAATGCTATCACATTAAGGAGTGGCAAGGAGTTGGGAGAAAGAGTACAAGAAGACAAAAGACAAGGGAAGGCCGAGAAGCCCTCTTTAAATTCTTCAATTAATGTTAATGTTTCTAGTTCTTCTTTTGCTCCTAATGATGCATCTTTTTGTAGAGATGATGAGGATGAAAACATTGAGGAGATCATATGTGAGCAACCACCATTTAAGGTGAAAAAGGGGATTATGGCCGAGTTGTTTAGTAAGGAAAAAGAGGGAGAGGCCAAGCAAAGTGAAACAAGAAAGGAGAGTTCAAGGAAGGAAGAAGGAAAGCAAAGTCAAGAGATTATGAAGAAGCTTCCTTTTCACAAGCACAAGTAGTCCCTAAGCAAGTGAAGGGACAATTTGATCAAGAGGTATATGATTTCTTCCATAAGATTCATGTTAATGTACCCTTGATGGATGTAGTTAAGAACTTTCCTAAGTATGCCAAATTTTTGAAAGATTGTTGTACAAATAAAAGAAAATTTAGGCCTAATGCAAGGGTACAATTACCCTCATCTGTGAGTGCTATCATGAAGCCTCAACTCCCTATAAAATGTGAGGACCCCAGTTCCTTCACAATTCCATGCAAGATTGGCAACACACATTTTTCTCATGCATTGATAGACTTAGGTGCAGCCATTAATGTTATGCCTCTTTCAATTTATCATGCCTTGAGTCTTGATTGCATGCATAAGACACCTATGATATGCCAATTAGCAGATAGAAGTGTTAGAAGACCACATGGAGTAGTAGAAGACTTGTTGGTTTGTGTTAAAGGTCTATTATTTCCTGTGGATTTCTATGTGCTTGATATGTCAAAAGAAGGGAGTGGGGATGATATTTTGATTTTAGGAAGGCCATTTATGAGGACTGCCCGTACATTGATTGACATGAAAAAGGTAGTTTGATTTTGAAATGTGGAGAGGATCATGTTATTTTTAATATATATGAAGCAATGAAACATCCTTTTGAGGATTATTCTTTGTTAGGTGTAAGTTCCATTGAGTTATTGCTTCATGATGCTTGTGAGTCTCACATGCTTGATTCTTTCTCACATGTTGATGATGATTTGTCTCTTGTTACTACTACATGCATTGATGGATGTAGTTGTCCTATTTGTTTAGAGATTGATGCATGCTTGAATGATGCAACTACTTTTCTCATGATTTATTTAAAATATCTCCTATGTTTGATCTTGAAATGCTTGAGAAGGGTATATCTTCTTGTGTTGTAGGTACTAAAGCCATTAAGGCCGAATCTATGAGTTTTTCTCCACTCAAGCTTGATGTTCTTAGGATTCCCAAGCTATTGGAGGAAAATTCTACACTTTCACATGTCGAGGCCGTGGCTCAAGTCCAAGCACTGAGGACAAGTTGCAAGAAAAGGGGGAGGCTATAAAGAAAGAAGAGGAGAAATCAAAAACAAGTGAGAAGCCTAAAAGACAAGATAGTACCATGGAATATTCCACCAAATTAGACTTGAAGAAGCTCATTCCCTCTTGTGTAGAGCCACCTACCTTGGAGTTGAAGCCTTTACCATCCAATCTCAAGTATGCATATCTCATTGAGAATGAGAAGCTTCCGGTAATAATTTCTAACTCTTTATCTCTTGAGGAAGAAAATGCATTACTTGATGTGTTGAGAAAGAACATACATGCTATTGGTTGGACTTTGGCTGACATTCCTGGTATTGACCCTATTGTGTGCACACATAAAATTTTTCTTGAGGACAATGCTAAGCCCATTAGGCAACCACAAAGGAGACTTAACCCATTGATTTTAGATGTGGTAAAGAAAGAGGTTGTTAAGCTACTTAGTGCTGGGATCATCTATCCTATAGCTGACAGTGAGTGGGTGTCTCCAACCCAAGTTGTACCTAAGAAAGGGGGATTACTGTGGTAAAAAATGAGAAAGGAGAGCTTGTTCCAACTAGAGTTCAAAATGCTTGGAGAGTATGCATAGACTATAGGAAGCTCAATAATGTGACTAGGAAGGACCATTTTCCTTTGCCTTTTATTGATCAAATGCTTGAGAGATTGGCTTCCAAGTCCCATTATTGCTTCCTAGATGGGTTTAGTGGGTATTTTCAGATTCCTATAGCTCCTAGTGACCAAGATAAGACTACCTTTACATGCCCCTTTAGTACATTTGCCTATAGGAGGATGCCTTTTGGTCTTTGCAATGCACCTAGTACTTTTCAAAGATGCATGATGTCCATATTTTGTGATTTTATTGAACATTGCATGGAAGTCTTTATGGATGATTTTACTGTGTATGGTGAGTCCTTTGATTCATGCTTGCATTCTTTAGATAAAGTGCTTGGTAGGTGCATTGAAAAGAAGCTTGTGCTTAACTTTGAAAAATGCCATTTCATGGTAGATAAAGGAATTGTTTTAGGCCATTTGATTTCTTCCAATGGCATAGAGGTGGATAAGGCCAAAGTAGATGTGATTGCTTCTTTGCCATATCCTATTTGTTTGAAAGATTTGAGATCATTTTTGGGACATGTAGGCTTTTATAGGAGATTTATAAAGGGGTTTAGTGAAATTGCTTTGCCTATGTCTAAACTCTTACAAAAAGATGTTGATTTTATTTTTGATGATGCTTGCAAAAGGAGTTTTGACACTTTGAAAAGCATGCTCATTTCCCCTCCCATTCTTAAAGCCCCAAATTGGTCTTTGCCTTTTGAGTTGTCATGTGATGCTTCTAATTTTGCTGTGGGAGCTATGATTGGTCAAAGAGAGGGCAAGTTATCATATGTGATTGCTTATGCATCTAGGACCCTAGATTCAGCTCAGGTTAATTACACCACAACTGAGAAAGAGTTGTTTGCTATTATTTTTGTATTTGATAAGTTTAGATCATATCTTCTTAACTCTAAAGTTGTTGTGTACACTGACCATGCTGCTGTGAGGTACTTGTTTAAGAAGACAGATTCTAAGCCTCGCTTGATTCGATGGGTGATCTTGATGCAAGAATTTGATGTGGAGATAAAGGATAGGAGTGGTTCTACCAATCAAGTAGCGGATCATTTGTCTAGACTACCTCATTTACAAGCTACTATGGTAAACTCTAACCCTACTATTCCTTGTGATTCATTTCCTGATGAGGCATTGTGTGCCATTTCATCTAAGCCTCCATGGTATGCCTCTTTTGCTAACTATATTGAGTGTAGAGTCTTGCCTCCTTGTGCTTCACGTTTTGCCATTGAAAAATTGAAAAGAGAGTCTAGATTTTACATTTGGGAACCACCTTTGATGTGGAAGATTTGTAGTGATAAAGTGATTAGGAGGTGTGTTGATGATGTTGATGTGCCTTCTGTTCTTGAATTTTGTCACTCTCATGCATGTGGTGGTCATTTTAGCTCAAATAAGATAGCTAGGAAGGTTTTAGATTGTGGATTGTATTGGCCTAGCTTGTTTAAAGACTCTTATAAATTTTGTAAAGCATGCTTGAAATGTCAAAAGGTTAGTAGTTAAGGTAAGAGACATGAAATGCCTCAACAACCCATTTTATTTTGTGAGATTTTTGATGTTTGGGGCATTGACTTCATGGGTCCCTTTCCACCATCCTTTAGTTTTGAGTACATATTACTTGGTGTTGATTATGTTTCAAAGTGGATTGAAGCCATTCCTACTAGAACTTGTGATGCTAAGATTGTTTTGAAGTTTCTCAAATCTAATATTTTTTGTAGGTATAGAGTTCCTAAGGCCTTGGTAAGTGACCAAGGATCCCACTTTTGTAACAAGATGATGAAGGCTCTCTTAGCTAAATATGGGGTGCATCACAAAATCTCTACACCGTATCATCCCCAAACTAATGGCCAAGCCGAAGTATCAAATAGAGAAGTTAAGAAGATCCTAACCAAGGTGGTGAACATAAATAGGAAGGATTGGTCTTTACACTTAGAGGATGCTTTGTGGGCTTATCGGACCACTTATAAGACTCCCATTGGCATGTCTCCTTTTTGATTGGTATATGGAAAGGCTTGTCACCTCCCTGTGGAGATAGAGCATAGAGCCTATTGGGCCATCAAGAAACTCAACTTGGATTTCCATCTTTCGGCTAAGGAGAGATTTCTTCAAATGCAAGAACTTGAGGAGCTTAGGTTGGATGCCTATGAGTCTTCTAGGATCTATAAGGAGAAAACAAGGATCCTTCATGACAAGCTAATCTTGAGGAAAAAGTTCTAAGAAGGAGATCAAGTCCTATTGTTCCAAACAAGGTTTATTTATAAGCATGCCAAGTTGAAGTCTAAGTGGGAGGGACCATATCTAGTGACCAAGGTGTTTCCCTATGGGGTTTTACAACTCTTGAATAAAGCCACGGGTTCCACCATGCAAATCAATGGTCACCTATGCAAGCTCTACAAAGATGCCAAATCACTTCAAAAGGAGGAGGACTTCTCTCAACATGTTTTTGAACCACCATGATAAGGTTGTATCTCTCCAACCTTGAGCTTTTACTTTCCTTTAATTGATATATTTAATGATAGGTATAGTTCAAGTGTGGGGGAGATGAACCTAGTAGGAAAATTAGAGTTTATTTGCTTTATTTGACTTCTTTGTTTTGTGTTTTAGTTTGAAAAAAAAATATCTGCACCACACTTTTGTTATGCATTCATTATTAATCTCACCTTATTTTATCACTAGTCTATATATACATTGAGGACAATGCATGATTTAAGTGTGGGGGAGAGAAATAAACATTTTGTTTTGTTTGTTTGGTTTTGCAAAAAAAAAAAAATTAAAAAAATTGCTTTGTTTTGTTTTGTTTTGTTTGAGGTTACTTAATTACCTAGCTCTTAAATGGATATTTTGATTCTTGAGGTGTGGTAATTTTTAGGATTGAATAGGTGTTAAGTGAATATTCTTTTACCTTGAATTAATGGATTAGAGTGGCATATTACCCTTTCATGGAAGAGGCTAAACACTCATGTGTGATTAATTCCTTAGTGATGTTACCCTCTAGAATTTGTTCCACTTCTTAATTAAGACCACATATCTCGCACTTGTTTGATAGGAGATGAGAGGTGGCATTCATAAAAAATAGCCAAAAGCCAAATAGCCAACCTATTATCATTTATTATCCTTTGTTAGCCACTTTAAGCCTTTGGTTTGATTCTTAAAATATATATATATATATATATGTTCACCCTATTTTTCCCAAGGAATGCATGTTACACTTTTATATGTCTTTTTAATATTCATTGCATGTCCTAGATCAAATGAGTGGATGCCTATTATTATTTTTCTATCCATTACTCTTTATCCTTTATTGCTACACCATTACATCCATTACTTCCATTGTTTTCAAAGAGTTAGGGGCAAAAAAAAAAACAAAGATAGATTTGGAAAAAAAAATATAGTCAAAAAGAAAAGAAATAAAGTTGCTAGAAAAAGAAACAAAAAAAGAAGAAGAGATAGAAAAAAAAAGAAAGAAAGAAAAAAAAAAGTTGCCTAGCTCATCCATTCCATTTGTTTTATTATTTCTTATCATTTCTTTCCATCCTCATTGTGTTAAGGTGTTCACTCAATTGAGTTAGGTTATGCTTTGCATATTAAGGGGATATATCTTGATTTAGCATTATTTTAATGCTAACCCTATTTTTTTTTATACATGCATTTCTCATACATCCTTTCATTACCTATATCACAACATAATAAAGTCCACTTGATTCTTGATTGCAAGTGCTATTTAGTGATGGAGATGTAGAAGGGTTACAAATTCATAGTAGGGTTTATCCTAAGAAATTTTGAGTGAAATTTAATACCTTATATACTTTGAGTGATGAGAGCAAACACTTAACCTAGAGAGGCTTACTCTTTGACATTGATTCTTGATAAGGGTTTGTTTGTGATATGCATAATTCTTTCCTAATTATTGCCACATTGATTGATAATTTGTAGAAGTTCATGAGCTAGTATTTTAGTAACTTGAAACAATGTTTTTCTCTTATTTCTTTGTCTTATAGTTTCTTTTGGGACCTTTTTCACTTGATTTTGCCCGGAGTGTAAAAGCTAAGTGTGGGGGAATTGATAGAAGACATTTGTTACCCACTTTTATTTGTCAATTAGGACCATTTTATTAATGATTTATCACCTTCAAGTGCACACATTGCATTAGATTTGGAACTTTGCCTAAGTTTCTAGGTTCAGTGCACTAGGGGCATTTTGGTCCAAAAAAATGAACTTCTGAGAAAATGTACAAGAAAAATTGACAAAGTGCATTTTATGTCCAGTTGATGAATGGTGAAACTATATTTTTAAAATTCATTTTAGTTTGGGAGCAATTAAATAAAAAAGTTAACACTTTCTTAAGTGTCTTAGTTTGTCCTAGTTTTTGGTTTGCCTTTGTGTGGAAATTTGTATATAATTTTGTGCAGCCTGAAACTTGGTTAATTTAATAAATTCTCCCTTCTAATTATGAATTTAATTCTTAGGTGCATTGAAAAGAAGCTTGTGCTTAAATCTAAGAAATGCCCTTTGATGGTAGATAAAGGCATTATTTTAGGCCATTTGATTTCTTCCAATGGAATAGAAGTGGACAAAGCCAAAGTAGATGTGATTGCTTCTTTACCATATCCTATTTATTTGAAAGATTTGAGATTACTTTTGGGATATACAGGCTTTTATAGGAGATTTATCAAGGGGTTTAGTGAAATTGCTTTGCCTATATTTAAACTCTTGCAAAAAGATGTTGATTTTATTTTTGATGATGCTTGCAAAAGGAATTTTGACACTTTAAAAAGCATGCTCATTTTCTCTCCCATTCTTAAAGCCCCTGATTGGCCTTTGCCTTTTGAGTTGTCATGTGATGCTTCTAATTTTGCTGTGGGAATTATGCTTGGTCAAAGAGAGGGCAAGTTATCATATGTGATTGCTTATGTATCTAGGACCCTAGATTCAACTTAGCTTAATTACACTATGACTGAGAAAGAGTTGTTTGCTATTATTTTTGCACTTGATAAGTTTAGATCATATCTTCTTAACTCTAAATTTATTGTGTATACTAACCATGCTGCTATGAGGTACTTGTTTAAGAAGATAGATTCTAAGCCTCGCTTAATTCGATGGGTGATCTTGATGCAAGAATTTGATGTAGAGATAAGGGATAGAAGTGCTTCTACCAATCAAGTAGTAGATCATTTGTCTAGGCTACCTCATTTGGAAGCTACTATAGTAAACTTTAACCCTACTATTCTTTGTGATTCATCTCCCGATGAGGCATTCTATGTAATTTCATATAAGCCCCATGGTATGCCTCTTTTACTAACTATATTGAGTGTGGAGTCTTGGCTCCTTGTGCTTCATGTTTTGCCATTGAAAAATTGAAAAGAGAGGATAGGTTTTACATTTAGGAACCACATTTGATGTGGAAGATTTGTAGTGATAAAGTGATTAGGAGGTGTGTTGATGATGATGTTGATGTGCCTTCTATTCTTGATTTTTGTCACTCTCATGCATGTGGTGGTCATTTTAGCTTAAATAAGACAACTAGGAAGGTTTTAGATAGTGGATTGTATTAGCCTAGCTTGTTTAAATACTCTTATGAATTTTGTAAAGCATGTTTGAAATATCAAAAGATTGGTAGTTAGGTAAGAGACATGAAATACCTCAACAACCCATTTTATTTTGTGAAGTTTTTTATGTTTAGGGAATTGACTTCATGGGTCCCTTTCCACCATCCTTTAGTTTTGAGTACATATTACTTGGTCTTAGTTATGTTTCAAAGTGCATTGAAGCTATTCCTACTAGAACTTGTGATGCTA